ATATCTCATCACATTTTGTAATGTCAAAACTATAAGTCTTTTTGGGGAACCTATCGTTGGTCCTTTCTGGACCAATGGGATTTTTCCCACTTGAGGGGACTAACAGTTTACAAGAGTATGGTGGCCCTTGTTTTAGTTCCGCTAAATTGACTTCTCCTTCTTCAACAGTTATAGTATCGTCGAAGGATTCTGGATCTTCATCATCCATATCAACATACGCTATCCTCTCTCTCTTATGAGTTTTCGTTGCCTTTGCTTTCTCAGCTTTGAGGCGTTCTACCTGTCGAACTCTATCGGCCAGTTGGGCCATGTCTCTCAGGTATTGAGTGTCTAACTTCTTCCTAATGGAATAATCTAAACCGCCTGCGGCTATTTCGACTAACTCATGTTCCGGCACTTGTGTAAAACATCTCGCTTTGAGCAACCTAAACCTATTTAGATATTTGTCTATAGGTTCAGTGAAACGTCTCTTTACACTGGCCAATGATGGATCGAATTGGGGGGAAGAGTTGTGAACCAAGTAAAAGCGTTCTTTGTTAAAGAACTTGGGAAGTACTTAATCCTCAGGTTTTCGTTGTTCGAAATATCTCCTGCTTCGATCAAGTATCTCGCCACATGTTCGACAGTAGATTCTGTCGTGTCCCCCGAAAACTTAGTGAATTTGGGGACTTTACATCTAGGAGGTAAGTCTGTTTGTAACACGTATTCTGACAACGGGGATGTGAAGTTGGGCCTTCGAAAGCCCATGTTCATCCTATTTTGAGTCATGATCCTTTCGATCATGGTTGCCAGATTATTTTCCAAACCCAGGTTTTGGTATTGGATATGCTGAACCACTTCGTCAGCATTTTGGTTTCTGTTAACTAACCTTACCTCTGGGGTTATTACCCTAGGTTCCTCGACAGGTTGCTCCAATCGTGCCCTAAGGTTTTCTTCGACAGGCTGTTGGACCTGGTTGATAGTGGTCTCTTCCTCTAAGAACACACCCTGGTTTCCCCTTATTTGCGCCCTTTGGGGCTGTCGAATAGGTTGGGGTACTCCAAAGAAATCAGCCAAACGCGACATTTGCGCTGTCATCTGCTGATTCGATTGAGTAGTGTTTTGTATTAGAGGGTTCAGCACTGTACTTAAAGTTTGTGCCAACATTTGAACCATATCATGGTTGCTTTCGTCCATTTGTTGCCTCAAGACTGCTGTCGAGGCATTTGTAAGGCCATGTGCTACTTGGGACGTTCCTCCTAAGAGTTGGGTCCTATTTCTATTCGCCATACCTACTCCAGAACCTTGGAGTGGCGAAGAGGCACTCACTAAAGGGTCTGAAAACGTGGACGCAGCATTCGTCAGGCTAGCCAAGTCAGAAGTTGGCATGCCATAGAGTGGTTCTCGATTATGACCGCCTGTCATAAATCCTGGGGGAACGAAAGGCCTTGTGCCTAAATTTCCCCTTGGTGGGGGAGTTCCCAAAGGCACTCTGGGGCCTGTGAACGGAGGTAATGGCCCCATTGCCGTGACCGTTACTGCTGGTGTCGAACCAGCGGTTATCGCTTCACTTACGGTCGGGATAACCGTTGCTCCCACATTTGTTTGTGGGATCTCGTTATTGTTTGGCGGATTCGCCATCTCTTCCCTTCTTCTAGCAGTATTGTTATCGTTAGTGTATATTCTACCACTTCTCAATAACATGCAACACTCCTCGAAAAGATGAGATTATTTTCAAAAATCAACACACAGTCCCACTAGGTGTGCCAATTTGTTTACCTTGGTTATTGGTAAACAACCGCTGATCCTCCAAATGGTTACTTATTTGGTTACTCGCAGGATCGATCAGATTGATCCTAGGACATAGGTTGATTTTGAGGTTTTGATTAAATTGGATAATGGTTAAATGACAATAAAATAAAGAGGCTTTAAGTAAATTGCATGAAGAAATAGGCTTGGTAAAATAAATGAAGGCTTGAAGTAAAGGGCTTCGACAGGAAAGTAAAGAAGAAAGCAAGTAAAGTTTCTGGAAAAGTAAATGACTTTGATTAATAAAAGTGGTGTTTCACACATACATTCTCAACAATTCTTTCTCACACGCTGGGTACTCGAATCTATATGAGTGACTTTGTATATAATTGTGAACACACGCGAGAAACTGCGTGAACTACTACTATTTATACTAAAACATCCCAAGTAACCGTCGGGCAGTTACACTGCTTCGAGATGATCCCACTTGGCACGTTCTCAACGTTCGACACTCCAGATCTTTGCACGTTGCACTTGGTAACCGCTGGAAACCGTTTTCCCTCCAAACGCTTGAATTTCAAACTGTTCCACTCTGAACCATCGAACATCTTCGTCGAGAAGCATCTTCGACGAGAAACGCCTTCGACGTCGAAGGCAACCAACTTCTCCCTTGGAAGAAATCTTCTAAGTACAGTGTCATCTTTCGATGGGCATTTCGACAGACCCAGCTGATCGAAAACATCCTTCAGCTTTAATGGCTGACATTAATGAAACAAGGGTGTCGAATTTAAGAGCCAACAGAAGGCCCAGTCCAGCGCCTTTGTTATGGCCCAATAACTTTGGTCCAAGACTGATAGCCGTTGGGGATTCCCCCCACGTGCCCATTAGAGAATGTGTCCCTAGTCATCATCAACCACCACCTGCCCTCCAAGAATAACAGGTCCACTGTCCCTACATTCTCAGGTCACTTCACTAGGGAGGGGGCCACGTGCTGGACCCCATTACTCGTGTAAACCCTGGCAGTCCATGTTATTGGGTCCAAATCGCTTGGCCCATTACATGGATCTTGGCCCAGCGCTGGGGGCTATAAATACCATCTCACCTAAGAGGGCCAAGTATCCATTCATTCATTCACTCATTCTACCTCACCTACTTTACTTGCTCTCACTCTGAACCTCACTTTGGCATCAGAGTGTCTTGCAGGTACCCCCCACTTCACATTCAACCGCTGCTTAACTTGAAACTCGTGGGCCTCGACGATCTCTTGTGATCAGGTACGATAAAAATAAAATAGGAATAAATTATAATTTGTACCTTTATTGTGTGACTTTCTGAGAAATTCAATTTGTTTGCATCATCTTGCTGAAGTGTTGGTGATATATAAGGTGTTGGATGATTTCTTTTAACTTTGTTTCTTTTCATGCTAATAACCCGAAAGTCTGCAGAGTTTATTTTGCCTTTAATACTAGTTGCCTCCCCACCAGAAGTAATCGAAAATTGATTCAACTTGATAATTAAAAGTATTTATGATGTAGTAGATCATGATGAACCATTGCAGCAACAACGCAAACAATAAGAACCTATATCATATGGATTGCAAACAGACAATCAAACAAAACAGACAAGCAAACTCAATAGAAGTTGCAGTTTGCTTATTGTTACCTTCGCTTCCAATTTTCTGTGGAGCTTGAGCAAACTCAATAGATCTGTAAGATACATCAATAGAAAATGTCAACAATCGTGCAGAAAGAGTTGTTAATCCTCTATTTAGACCATTGCGTAAGGTTCCCTTGTAATATAAACAAGCAAACCCATTACTCATACCTTTGAATCAAGCAACGTGGAAATAAAAAACGAAACTATTATCAACAACTTTTTAAGATTCAACATGCAATGTAAACAAACAAACCCATTACTCATACCTTCGAATTAAGCTGTAAACATCCAGATACATTGGTTTGCAACGACTGTGCTTTCGAAAGTACCAGATCAAAAGCAGACACATTCTAATTAAAACCTAGAATTCTCACCACAGGAAAAGTCAGCTATGTTGATATAGCTGAATTCAATTTAGATGTTTGTAAAAGCCAAAGCCCTCGTTGAAATCAATTCAAAATGAAATTAAGAGTTGTGAAGTAAAAATTCAATTTTGATTTGACCCAAAAAGGATTCTTACCAGTAGAAATGATTTCTTTTAGATGTTTGTAAAAGCCCTAAAAGAAATCAATTCAAAAGGGTACGATATTTTAATCATGAAATTAAGAATTGTGAAGTAAGAATTCAATTTTGTTTTGACCCAAAAAGAATTTTTACCAGTAGAAATGATTTCTTCTGATTGTCGTTGTTGAAAAGAAGCGTTGGCGAGAAGAAGAGAGTCATGATCATATTTATCTTCCATGGATAAGATAATGCACACCAACCTTTTGAAGTTTTGAAAAACTAAAATTAATAATAATAATAATAATAATCGTGTTTGGTTTCTAGGAAGGTTCATGAGGAGAAAAATTGAAACTACTTCAGAGAAACAAAGTGCAACGAAGAGTTATCGTATACAGTGTGAAGTTCAAACAATTTCGGCTGATTTTACTTTTTCCAAATGCAGATATATTATATAAATATAAGAAATAATTAGGTTAAGTTAATTATTCTACAATTAAAAAAAAATAAAATACAATAAAAAATATGAGAATATCAAATCAGCGTTATTAAATATCAAATCAATATAAAACAAATATAATGTTTAATTAGTCTATTTTATTTTTATAATTAAATTAAATTAATCTTTTAATCAGAGAACTTAATATGTAATTATCGTATACTTTAGTTTTTATATATTTATAATAGACAAAATAACCCTACATATTTCCTTACGTGTAAGCGGTACATTAGTCTAAAGAAAAAGCAATGACATGATATTTTTTTTGGAGGCTTGTGTTAAATAATTTTTATTCAAATCTTTTTTTTTTTATATATAATTTTCAATGTAAAATTGAAATGCATTTTACTAATTACACCGAATTACAAAAATGTGAGCTTTGTGGTTTTGTAAAGTAATCTTTAAATATAAAAGCCCAAGCCCAGTAAGATAAACCCTAGCTTTGTTCTCTCCACATTTCATCAACCTTCTAGCCGCTCTATTCCTTTTTCCATCTTCAATTCACGTACGTCGCTCAATCCTTCTTCCATCGTTTTTTTTCTTCTACATCTTTCTTGCACTATGTATTTTGTTACGAATTGAATAATCTAACTGTGTTTGTGAATGCAGTGAAAAAATGGCGATGGTTGAAGAGGAACCCAAAGCTCTGAATTATATTCCAGAGGTTATATTGAAGAAGAGGAAAAACAGTGAAGCATGGGCTTTGAGAAAAAAGGACCAATTCCAGAAGAAAAGTTTCCAGCTCAGAAAATCCAAGGATTTCATCAAGAAGCCTGAGGATTTCATCTTTGAACATCGTAATAGAGAGATTGATCTTGTTAGGATGAAACGTAGGGTTAAGAGGAAACGTGGTGAAAAAACTACCTCAATCATTAAGCCTATAATTGTTATTCGTATACAAGGGTGTGTACTGTTTCGGTTTTTTTTGCTATCATGTTTTGAATTTTTGTTTCTGGGAATTGTGTTAACAATGTTTTTGTTTTTAGGAAACAAGATATGCATCCTACAACTAGGAAGCACTTGTTTGATTTGGGATTGAGAAGAATTTTCAGTGCTGTTTTTTTGAAGCCTACTGAGGGAGTTATGGCTAAGCTTGCTAGAGTTGAACCATATGTTACCTATGGGTAAGACATTTTTGTTAATGTTCATTGTGTTTTATGCCGTATTATTTGTGTTTGGGATATATGATATGATATATTAGAGTTGTGGAACTTTCATATGTTTTTAGGGTTTAGGGTTTAGGGTTTACTGATATCAAATATATAGTAATAGCTAAATTACTATGTCAAACGAACTCCAATCTGTTCCGACATGTTAAAACCATACATTTCACTCTTAACAGACTACTGAGGAAAATGAGTAATATGGATACCTCACCAGTTTATCATTAAGCATGCTTTTGAGTTTGACAGTAGTCAACGGTATTATAGCAGAAGGTGGCAACTAACTTAGTATACGAAGATGCTTAACCTTATGTGTACTAATTATAATCATATATTCCTCTGCATCTCTTACACTAAGGTGCATCAGTATGGCAAATAGCACCAGTCTGTTATAAAGTTAAATTTATTATTGCTATTTTTCTTGTAACTTTATTTTCCTGAATGTATTATCCTCAATTTATGTTGATGTGGATTTTTCCTGATCTTGCAAAAATCTGCTTATTTTGAAGATATCCGAATCTTAAAAGCATAAAGGATCTAATTTACAAGAAGGGAAATGCAAAATTAGATAAGCGAAAAGTTCCTTTGACAGATAATAACCTTATTGAGCAGGTAATGCTATACGATATTTATTGATTACTAGTTTTCTTTTGGTAATGCTATATGATAGTAACCTTGTGGTTTTTGAAATTCTTCCACTTTTTGATGTGCAGGAATTAGGAAAGTTCGGTATTGTTTGCATAGAAGACATTGTGCATCAAATTGAGAATGTTGGTCCTCACTTTAAGGAAGTTGTCAGATTTATGTGGCCTTTTGAACTGAACAAGCCAGCAGATGGATTGAACGGATTGAAAAACCGATTCAAACATGGTGGGGATTCAGGGGACCGTGAAGATCTCATCAACGAGCTCATCAATAAGATGAATTAATGTAGGTCAATATACTATCGGTACTATCAAAGTTTTGATGGTTTATGGTGTCCCTCACATGAATTTTGATGGTTTGTTACTGTGCTTCTGTTAAAACAGAATTAAAATATTATGTAGTATCTTAGTGCCTACCTTTTTGTATTCCTTTTTATTTTGTTTCTAACAATGAGAAGAAGGAGCAAAGAATTGGTTGAATGTATTTGATGGACTTGAAACCATGATCTAGTTGCTGCCTTTTCTGTCATGAACTATGTTTAGGTCCTGAAACAAAGTTACCATTTGATTTGAGGTGCTATTTTTGAATTTGTATTGTATAGTTTTAATACATTTCTTCTGCATAAGTTGATAAACCTAGTTTTGAAGTCTAAGTTTTGTTTTTAAAAAGTTAATCAGTGGTTGTGATTCCTTATCTTTGATTGTCTGTTTCCTTCCTTCAATTGTGATCATGGTGATGTAGTACTCAATGAACCAGTTTTATAGCAGTGTCAATCTTGCAAACATTCCTATCTGATAACGGCTCTAACTGAGTTTACTCTTCGATTTTATTGAATGCTAGGAGATTTGCATGTTCATAGCCAGCCGAGGGATTTAGCCCGCTGCTTGTATAATTTACCAGGTGTCTAACAAATTCATAGTACACTGGTTTTTAACTTGTTTAAAAATAAAATAATTTACTCTTCTGTCCACTTTATTCAAACAATTTTTACATTCATTCAATTTCTCACAATGAAAACAATTTCAAACAATTTTTAACTAGATGTCATAAATTCATTGTCTAAACATCTATTTTTAAAATATAGGTTATAGAGTTGATTCAAAACATAATCAATTCATTCACTCATTGGTTTGCCAGACATATATTCCTTCACTAAAAACAATAACTATAAACACAAATATTCCTTCATTAAAAACAATAACTGTTAACATTGTACTATAGAACTATATTCACACAAGAGGAAAGAAGCCATTGACACAATTTCTTTAGTTTTGTGCCTTCTACAGATTCATCTATAGTGGAAGCTGTCTCTTACTGATATTTTCACAGATTCCACATAAACATAGTTTTTAAGAACAGTTATTATTGGTTAATTTAATGACAAGTGTCAAAGGTAGTTATTATTGCTACAACACAAGTCCTAGTTCTCTTGAAGTAAAGCTCTGAGTACTTAGTTCTTTAAGGGTGAAACTTGATTGGCTAGACATAGACTGAGTTGGCTTTCTTTGAAGTAAAGCTTTGAGTACTTGGAGTTTCCTAGGAGTGAAACATGATTGGTTTTTACCATATGTGAAATTGATGATGTAGTGAACATATTCAATACTCTCTCCATTCTTATTTATAAGTAAATTTTAACTTTTTATTTATAAGTAAATTTTAACTTTTTATATTCATTGAATATACATCCTAGTCCTTAAGCTGAAACATATATTTTTTCGCTAACTGAAACATCATAGAGAAAATTATATTCAAGGGAGGAATGAGTTCCATTTGTACAACCTGAGACCATGGAATTGCAAATTAGTCATAAAGTCCCATGATAAATTTGATGACTTATCTTCCTTGCAAAATTTCAAAGGATTGTAGCAATTGAAACTCAAATTCTTTTAATAGAATAATTATATTCAGAAATAGATCAATAACTTTGCATATTTTCCATAAATTTTATAATTTATTGAAGCAATTGGTAACAGACAAGGGATTTTTACTAGACCATGCTATGAGAATTGCTTTTTTAAATCTTATCAAACAACCAAAGTAGTTGTACCAAAAAATCGAGCTATGAGCTTCGGATGGATTAATAGAATTGAATTGAGAATCCAAAATTGAACTAAATTGTTATATATTTAAGTTGAACGGTGTGCACATTTATTGTAAAAGTCTTATCCTCTAATAATCATGTAATTAACCTTGTGCGACATTAACTAACTTTAAATTATGATTAATAGCTACTACCTGAAAGAAGAAAAAGAGTGAAGAAGAAATGAACTAAGAAAGCAAAGAGAGAGAAAATGAAAAAGGTTTTGAGATTTTTCTATTCAGTCCAATTAGTTATTACAAAAATTTATTTTTTAGAATGATAATAGATAAAAGTATGTCATTGAGGGAATTGTAAGCTTTAAAACTTTATTTTTTGTTAATTATTAAAATGACAATGTAATTTATAAAATTAAAAAGATAATCAAAAAAGTTCATATTCATGTTTGGTTCTTAATTAGATATAGATGGTGGATTATAAAAATTGAAAGGAATTAAAAGATGATGGAAGACTGTTTATGGTTATGAGTCGACTTAAGTACGTATTTGATTTTTTATTCTTTTAGAGTTATTATTTAGATTAACGAAATTAATTGAAATTAATTAGCACCACTTTAATGACAAATCATATTTGTGACAATTATTTATATTCTCTTAAGTTTTTGAAGGTCTTTTATATGTTAAGTTATAATTTAAACATATCAAAATAATTACATATTATATTTAACTACATTTTAATATAGTTTAAGCATGTCAAAACAATTATATATTATATTTAACTACATTTTAATAGTGACAAAGATTTTATGAAATTCTATTTAAATAGGTTATAATCCTGACAAATTTTAAATTATGTGCAATAATCCACCTTATATATCTTTAAAGATGATCCTCATTATTTTATTAAATTATTTTTAATATAATGTGCACTTGAAATCGATACACAATTTTATATTTGATTTTGTCTATTGATATTTTGCCAATTATTTACTAAGTTATTTTCAACAAAATGTTTACTTGAATTCGACACACACATTTATATTTGGCTTTGATAATTTGTCAAATTAATATCTTAATACATAATATTTTTTTAGGCTTTTATATCGGTTTCTGATCTATTTAGTGAATCGACTAATCTAGCTCATGTATCAAAAATTCGAGTACTGGCCAAGCGTTATTCCCACCTAAGAATCGAACTCAGTATTCTCCAGATTACGTCCTTAATCTATAATATGTTGGATGCACTTTTCTCATTATCCATAGTTATAGGTTTAACTCGGTGGGGGAACTGACTTTATTATTTTGCGTTTGATCGCAATTGTTGCGGATAGCAAGAGTCGCCACCGACTTTTCTGTTATCCAATAAGGAAAGGTTGAAAAGAACAGGAAAGGTCTTTCGAGATTATTTCTTGAGTTCGGAGGGTAAGTTATGAAAAGGGAAGGTGTTAACACCCTTTTCATCCGTAGTTATCTACGGGTTCTTAGTTGCTTGCTAGATCACTTGCTTTGTTTGAAAATGTGCTTGTAGTGTGGGTTTGAAAATATTTTGAAAACGTCTTTGTAATGATTCTTGTCTCTATAAGAATGCGTACAAAGTGTTGATTTTGAAAATAGTTCAAAGAGGTATTTGTGGAAGGTGTTTTTGAAAGTGATTTTGAAAATCGTCTTTGTAATGATTATCGTCTCTATAAGAATGCGTACAAAGAGTTTTGACTTTTGAAAATGTTTCAATTGAAAATGTTGGTGTGAAAATGGTTTTGCAGTTGTGAGCAAGCAAGCAAGTAAGAGAGTCCTACCTACTCGAAAGGTCTAATATTCTTTTCCTCATCCTTTAGATGTTGTTATCTTACCATTGATTGATAACAAGCCCCATCGTTGGATGTGAAGGAACGGGCGTGGGTCGTTTGTATAGTCATAGAAGGCAACTTATGAGACGTTTTAGCAATTTCGTTAGGGACTAGATCGTTTATCGAAGGCAACATCGAGGTTCATCGAGGGACAACGATCTTTTATCGAGGATCTTTTCTAAGCACCCATATTAGAGGGACATGACTATTTTCCGAGGCAACAAGTGAGATTACCCTAGAGATGCATGTGTGCAAAGTGTGTTTGATTGCATGCATTTTTATCTTTGATTAGGGCATATACTTGTTGGTTTTATCTTGTCATACACCCTAATTACTAACATTTATATAAAGCAATAAAAATGCAGAGAATAAATATCCTACACTATTACAACCATATTGAATAGCAAGAAAATATAAAGACAAAATAAAATAAAAGAAGGGAACATAAGTTCTTCGATCCAGGCAGAATACACCATTCAATTATGCTCTTCCTGGCTTCTTTCGATTTGGGCCTAGCAGTCAGCGTGAGATGCACCCTTCGATTCACCCTTCTTGTTGTTTCTTTCGATTGGGCCTGGAAGTCAGCATGGCGAAGCCTAAAGCTTCGATTCATACCACACTCTATGTTCTGTTTGTAACTGTGAAGTAGCCAGGGGCGAAGCCTAAGGCTTCGATTCAATAGACTTTGTTTTGTTTTGTTTTTTTTTTTGTTTGAGTCTATACAGGTTAGTTCTAACATATATTTGGACAAGAAAAGCATGCAATCGAAAGTACATAAATAAAAAGTGAACAAATTTTATTTACATGCTTGAAACGAAAGGGTTAAGGTCGGGTGACTTACCTTGCTTGAAGCTGGAATGTGTGTGCTGGACCTTGAGTGGCTTCCTTGAGTGCTCCTGGATTTGAAGGAAAGAAACAAGCGTGGTGTTTCTTTGACTGAATTCGAAGGCCAAGAAGAGTGGAGTTGTATTCGTTGTTTATGGATACGAAAGAAAAGAACAACCGTGCTGGCATAGGGAAGCTTTTTCCTTGTGTACGCTAGCATGGTGGGAGCCCTCGTTTTGTGAATGAAGCATGTGGGAAAGAGGTAATTGTTCAATCGAAGGCTGCATGCGGATAGCCATTGCTTTATGAATCAAAGCAAGCATGTTAGAGGCCAATGCTCAATTGAAGGATGTAAGCCAAGCTTGCATCGAAAGAGGCCAAAAGCCCAATCGAAGGATGTGAAATTGAAGCAGGCATGCTCTTCTTTGGTTTGATGCTTGAAATCCCAATTGTACTTTGTGCAAATTTGAACTTTTGAAAATCCTTATGAGGAAATGTCTTGAGAAATGAGAGGGCAAATTTTGGGGTACAACAATAGAGAAGTTACATTGTACTTCGAAATATACATATGTTTT